GCACCTGTGTTTCCAGGTGAGTTCAGGACTTTCTCAGATGCTGTTTTGTGGCGGTCAAACTTTCCCCGCTCGCTTTCCTGGCGATCCTATTACCAGGTGTCACAGTGTGTGTGACGTACAGCCTCTCTGACCCTGAACACACACGCGCTGTCTCATTAATTCATGGCCTTCAACCGCAGATTGAATTACAGCCGGCGCTGGGCCAGGATTTACTTTGACAATATCCCTTTGTAGTGGACACACCCATGCACACACACTCACACACACACAAAGATAAGCCGTGTCTGCACCGTTTCATCACACATGCGTACCCAGCACTGTTCTTGATATCCTGATATCAGTGTTTTCTATGCCACGCTATGCTTGCTGTTATCCATTATTTATCACGACCATTAGTTTGTCTGAGATACATCAGCATCCCCCCCTCTTTCCTTCACCCCCAATTTTCTGGATTCCTTTTCATCCTCCGATCGATCGCTTCCCCCTCCTCAGCTGCACAGGGAAAAGTGTCAAACCCACACAGCAATGCTGAATTACTGATGCTCCACACCACAGTGTATTCCCACAGACACATGTGAGCGCACGATTCGGATCCTGCGCGTATCACGACGAGATCAAAGGCAGCGGGAACGGGGTGCAGTCCCTTTAAGAGAAGCAGGACGGGGAGGGCTGTGCATCCATAAAAGATGAGTTTATTCAGTGGCCATGCTAAGACATGGTTAGGAACGCCTCTGCACTCCGGCGTTCTCTCATATCCATCTCAGGCGCTTCACACGCTGACACAGCTCCTGAAGAAGCCGAGACATGGACACGCTGAGAAGAAAGGGATAAAAACTGGACCTGAAGAAGAGAGGAAGCGGGAAGAAACAACAGCAGAAGAAGAGTGAAAGGGGAAGAAAGAAGAGGGAATAAAGAAGATAAAAGAGAAAGTGTGCAGTAGAGGAAAGTGAACAGGTGCATCAAGGCGGAGAATGGGCAATTCCTCCTTCCCAGGCATGTCCCCTCTCTCTCCGTCCATTCTGTAGTTGCAGGTATTTCTAACTTGAGTGCCTTTCTCTGACGTGCTGGGGGATGCTGGGAAACTACCGCTCTCCCTCTTCTTCTCTTCAGTGTTTTGCTGTCTGTGTTGTTTCCGCACATGTATCTTTGCCCTGCATGTTTTATGGAAGGAGACTTTTTTGAAGCTTCTCCAAACTTATTATTTTTTATTCATTTTCGAAACAGCTTCTGATCGAGTAACCGCATCACGTCGGAATAACCAGTTTTGAGTGCTGCAGTCCATTTTGTATGTATCAAAAGTGCCTTTGAAATGCATTTCAGTGCAGATATTGAGAGGACTCTGTGTGTATTTGGGGGTGTGAATGTCTGCTGGTGTCGGTTGCGTCTGGCAGCAGTTCTTGTTTACTGCCTGAGCGGATGGGAGGCTGTGGATGTCCTGGCTCTCAGAGGCTGGCATCTGGACCGGAGTGAAAGAGTGCTATTGATGGATTTACTGAGGCTGCTGTTGCTGCTGATCAGAGAGGAGATGGAAACAGTGATACAAGCAGGAAGAGAGCTGGACATTAATGCAGTGGCTGAAAAATATAAACGCGGTGGAGACAAAACACATCTAGTAAGCATATGTATCACCACTTTAATTCTTGGGTAGGTGGAGGAATGATTTAAGTGGATTTTTC